TGATGCATTACAGCACAGCAAGTGCTTGTCAAGGAGGACTACACTCAACTGTTACGATGTAAAGTTAAACAGAAAGTGTTTTGCAAGATATTGGTATTACTGACCACATGTGTTTAAAATACTTAATATTCAAATCATCACAGTAGCTGTAGCTGCATTCTCTTGTTGCCAATTGAGCATGCAACAAAGTTCTGAACTCTCAGTTAGAATACTGTATGTGGACTCGCTACAATTTAGTGGAGTAGCTACATCCCACACACAATCAATCTTAAGAGGCTGATTCCAATGAACATCAACAAATCACTTTGTGCACATGCCCAGTGCTGAAGACGTCTAACATTTCTGCAGCTTTAGACATTTCTCGTGGATTGTGGTACCTTTTGGTCCCAGTAGCTGTGCCTCTGTAGCTTTTCTTCCATCTCCACAGCGTGCTTCATCAAACGGAGGACACTGTTCACCTGTACCAGCAACTACTTCACCATTACCTGAGTACACACACACACACACACACACACAAACACTGCATTAATTGCAACAGTCTCTGGCCTATACCTTTTTAACACTTGAAGCAGTATGTGTGAGCACACTTCATAAAAAATCACAACTGAAAGCTTTGATTTCTTCCAACATTTCATTAAAAAAATGCTTACTGATGAGGTCACGGGCACCACTAAGCATCTTGGGTCGGTAGATTCGTCGTGAGTTGGTGTCCGATGCATACAACTGCCCTGTGACTGGGTCGGTTGCTAAATAGTAACGGTGAGCAGGGTTGTTGCTATAACAAAGAGATGGAAAGGCAGAAACAAGATGTAATTAATTCATTCAAGTTGTATCTTTAACTACTGAGCACAGACACTAAGAATCCATTGACAAATCACTATATGATCCAGATCTTAGACTGGAAAAATCAAACACGGTTTATGGCTGTAACAATTGTACAGATGGATAATGAATTTACAATGAAACAGAGCAGATTTACAACTTAATCTCAGAAACATAATGTGAAATGAGTTGGTGATAATGAAGACATAATGGACACACACAGATACACACATGTGCAATATCCTTTGTTCATGAGTTTCAGGTTCGTCAAAATCAGTAGATGATCACAGGCTGGTAAATAAAATAGTTAAACATTGACAGTGTGTGTGTTTTTATGTACTTGAGAGGCTCAGATATGTCCCATTAAAATCAAAACATTTTCAAGACTCAAGGCAGCGCAGACAAAATCCATGATTTTAGTCAGACTACACCATTTATTTACAAGCAGGAAATCACTTCAACTCTCATCATTTGATGTGTTAGAATATATGTAAAGACTGTCTTTAAGATCTGTTCTGCTCATCATACACAGTGACATAAAGAGTAAATAAAGAAAAAGGGAAAAATGTGAGGCAATGCAGAATAAAGACATCCATGACTGTAAAAGGAGTTAATTAAGTGATGTATAGGTGGAATGAAGGATGTTGTGAATGATTAATGTGAAGAGAACAGGAGGGAGTGAAAAAACAATCAGTTAACATAAAGGAGTGACCAAAGGTAATAAAACACCAACGTGATGAGTCCTACCAAGAGAAAGTTGTTTTTTAATTGAAAAGTGAAATTTAATTGAAACTACATTTGGATGAGTCAAAAAATCCAGGAATCCAATCACTGTCTTGCCGGTGGCAAAGAAGCTATACACATGGCACTGCTCTGTAAGTGTACGCGAAGATATAGAGAACAACTAATTAGTTTGAATTTAATTTTCAGACGGGAGGACAGTAAAAAGAAACCTATCAGCCTACAGCATAGAAAAGAGCAAAAAAAGTATCTTACATATTTCATTGTTTTTCTCTGCTTACAAGCATTTTGTAATATTATGCCACTATTGAAGGGGCATAATTTATGCCTTCCAAAACATTGCACATCACTGTGTAAAAATCTGTTTTACAATATGACAGTGACATGATTGAGAATTTAGTAAGTCATTTACTGACATGGTTACAATAATAATGGTGCGGTTACGGTAATAAACTATAATCTGTTACACTGACGTCATACGACGACTGCAAGATACAGCACAGGAAAAGAGATAATAGAGGAACTTGGCTGCATGCTACAAACTAAGGGAGATGATGTAGGTGCTTTGGCTGAGCACTTTGACGTCATAGGAGTCAACATAAAGAAAATACTTTCATTTACCACAGTCAGTGCCCCAGATATGGAGGGGAGGGCAGATGCGGATTACATTCTGCTGTAATTGAAAATCAGATCAGTCACCCTGTAAGACTGGTTGTGTGTGAAAAGAAGAAAGAGGACATGCCTGTGTATGTAAACCTCTATAAGACTCATGCACAAGCATCTCTCAAAGAGCAAAGTTCCGGTTAAAACTTTGTCTATTGCCGACAGTGGTGGGCAGCGTCAGGGGCCATAATGGGGCCATAACTTGCAGTAGTATGACAAAGGATGTGTGTGTCCTGTACGTCAAATTAATAATAGAACAATCCCTCCCAAGTCACTGCCAGGAAGCTGTGGATACTGATATCTACCTGCCACACCAACAACTTACAATGAATAAATGGACAATGTGTAATATAATGAAGCTTTTCATAATATTCATATAGTCTGGAATGAATTTAGAAAATAACTCCATGTATCTGATTTTTTTTCGAGGTGTTAGTGGGACATAAATCTATCAACTACTGGGTGTGAGTGGGCGGAACAGGGGCCTTTAACTTGAGCAAAACTGTTCGACAAGCCAGAAGTGTAGCAAAGGATATATGTGAATGGCAAACTGTAAAGTAGGAAAAGCTGGTAACACTTTATATTAGGGAACACATATCAACCATTAACTAGTTTCTTCTTACCGTGGATATAAGAGGCATATTGGCTCTTTATTAGTCATTATAAAGCACTTATTAATGCCTTATTCTTAATGACCTTATTTTGCAACTACTCCATTGATTAACAGTTTTCCCTTAATAACCTCCTAATTACTGCTTATTGATGGTAAGTAAGGAAGTTGTTGTACATGAATTACATTTAAGTGCTTGGATATGTTCACTTTGTGGTTTCCCTAATATAAAGTGTTACCGAAAAGCTCTATATAAATACAGACTATTTACCATTTAATGTTTAACACCTAAGAGAGCACTTTAATATTTTTCATGGTAAGGGCTATGGAAACATCAACTCTGTTTACCACTTTGAACTGAATTAAACAGTGAAGGCCACATACAGAGGTACAGTTAATTTGTTGCAGAGTTAAATTTGTCCTGGTGGACAGAACCATACCAGGTGCTGTTGACAACATGGGGAAAGACATACATCCCAGTGCAAACCATTAGCTAATAGTGCCTCTTGGTACAAAATGAATTGCAGCTGTATTCCAATCCTACTGATCAGAGCAAGGTGACTACAAATCAAAAAGCCTCACATAAGCTGACACACACAGTCACTGACCCAATTATACTCAACAGTCAAACTGATTAATCAATTCTGATCCTCCGACAAACATTCTAACACAGGGGAATAGAAACAACATATCATCAAGGGAGCAAGAGCATACAGAGAGCAGAAGTGGCATAGGCATGCCACTACGCAGGTTAGAAGATGAAGTCGAAACAGTCATGACAGAACAGTTGATCAGGAAAAAAGAGAATTATTTACCAAAATGCCATTTGATAGTGAAGATCTGTATTTTATATTTAAACAGGCCAGAGGAAACCTATATATTGAAAGTTATTCAGATGGGGAGTTGGTGTAATTATTTATTTATATGTTGACACTTTGTGTCAAAAGGGCAACATTTTGAAAATGAATAGCTTCATTTTTTCAGTAGAAGAGGTATTGATTTTTGGGTGATGTTAATGTCAGAAGATGCCTGTGTGCCATGTGCCATGTGATCATTTGCTGGGTACACAGATGATGTCTGTGTTATGCTCTGTGTTCATGCCATAAGCAGCCAGATGAGAGTCACCAGACAATCAACTAAAAGGTAACATGCAATAAGGAAAGCTTGATTAACACATGGAAGAATGGCTGTTTTCCTGAGGTAAGTAATACCAAGACAATCTCAAAGTCTAGCAGAGAACAACTATGTGGGTGTGCTCTTTATGCTGCATGAAGTAAAGAGATTTGATTAATCACATTGTGCTCTCTAGAGAATTTGCAACCCCCAACATTCAAGAAGAATTTCTCCTACATTTGCCAAGAGCTCCAACTGTTGTTGATTTGACATTTTTTAATATGACTAACAAGAGTTTAGAATATTCTCTCTGGGCAGTGATGCTTCATCATCTTTCATGTTTGATTGAGGGCAGACAGGACGCTACATTGACCCACTGCTAAGGTACACAGTGGGATTATGAAATTAGTTTTTAATTATGTTATGTCTAGCTAATCTTAAGGCCTCCTTGATGCTCTAAGGTCTAAAAGCTGCTTGGAATTAGTGACAATGATTGTTTTTATTGAAAGATGGAATATCCAAAGACAAGACTCAGGTGTACAAGCAACATAAAATGGACATCGAAATTAAAAGGTTATAGGTTGAAAGATATTAGTCATTCTTACCTATGTCTGAAATCTTTATTTCTTTAATACAGAACAAGCAAGCAAGCAAGGGTAGAAAACAGAAGAAACAAGAGTTAGTCGACAGTGATGCTTGATAGACATTACAACAAAAGCAACCTTACTTGAAAACAATTAGATGTTTGGAGTGAATATGTAAAAATGGAATTATAGCTCGTTGGAGTCAACAGGGAATAGTTTTCAGACAGTTTGGAGGTTTTAATAAATAAGCAATTGAAAGTGGGCCAGAAGCATGTTAGCATGTTTTAAACTCTTAATGATTGTGTTTTTCTTATCCTTTAACACTGGGTAAAGTCTAAGTATTCAAATTTTTATAACAGTAGTGGTAAAGTGCCCAATCTGGCAATGCATCTCTCTTACTCTACCTTTATACTTTCAAGCACTGCTTAAATGTCCTACAAGACACATGATCATGATGTGGAGCTGAACAGTTGAGTGCAGGAAGGAATGATGCCAAGAGAACTAAGGCAGAGAAATGTATTTAAATCCATGAGACTTAATGAATTAATAAATTCAATGTTTTGCTACTATATATATATTTTGGTCTCTGGGCTACTAGTGCAGAAAGGTCAAACTAGGATGCCTAGGTCTGAAAAATCAGTAAAATGTTTAGATATGGAGTCCCAAATGATATTAATTGGGATTAGACCAAAACCTCTCTCAGAATCTACACCAAGTCTCCACCCACAAATTCAGATCAATATTTGCCTATGTTCACCTTTTTCCCCACAAACGCTGGACTTGTAGAAATATGTCAGACTGAGCCAAAAATGCACACAAGTAAACTGTTCTTGACCACACAGAGAAGCATACATGGCAAGTTAATGTTCCAACTAGTCAGAAAAGATCTGAGGGTGTGTGTGTGGGGATTTAGGTGTGTCTTTGCCAGGAAACCTGGATGAAAAATGGACAAAAGGACTTCTAAATCTAAATGATGCTTCATTGTAGACCTGTGCCCTGGTGTCGCTCACTCACTGTCTTGCTCTCTCTTGCACACACTGATCATCTGTCGTAGTTAGACTGAACATCAGCAGCACCAGAATCCTGCTCACATTTGTAGCTAGTTAAAACACCCATAAAGTTTCTGCCATCCTTAGCAGGCAGGCCTGATTCAGTATTAACCCAGTAAACACTGCTGGGCAAGTTAACTCAACAAGCTTTCAGCAGGCAGACTGACCTCAGTTTAACACGGATCCTGCTCTGTAAGAGCATGTTTCAAATTCAAATTCCAGTACCACCATCACCTACCATCCTCCCTCTTTTTGCTCTCTTACCTAAGCTCCATGACACTGGTAACATTCCCAGAGGGGAAAATCCTCCTGATGTAGTTGAAGTCTCCAACAAAGATACTGCCATCTGCCCCACAGGCCAGAGCAAGTGGTGCCAGGAGCTTGTTTCCCTCTGCCTGCCCATTGCAGCTGGGGCAGGAGATGCTGCGGCGACGCCCATTTCCTAGAAGACGATGTTGAAATACATTTTTTACCAATCGATCCTGTGGTTTCTGCTCCACATGACAGACTGGTCATTTGGATATAATTCCATATACATTTTATCAGACCAGGTTGTTGAACACCGTTATACCAAGCATTTATTTGCAAGACAGATGGAGACCCTAGATTTAATTCCCAGTTGGGGTTCTTTTGAATACCTTGAAGCTCAGAAGACTTTTTGTCCAATAATTATAGCTCAACTCTTTCAGGTAAAAACAAATGGACACTGACACCACGGGTCAGAGCAATAGGATTTAGTGGTGCCAAGGACTACAGTGGATAAGGAAATTGACAGTTCCTCTGATGGCCACTAGAACTAATAATTCAATCTACATACACACTACATTGAATCTTCAATTCTGTCATTAAGTTCTTATTGTTTTCACTTACTCTGGCTCTCTGAAATCACTCATGCAAGTCAAAGTTATTGAAGAACAATCAAGAAATCCCATGACCATTTAAAACAAATAAATCAAATTTTTATATGTACTTACCCATGATGCTGCTGATGACAGGAGGCTGCTGGGAGATGAAAATGTTCTCACCGTTACCTCTGTACAATATACCTGGTGGAGAGAAGATATGAAGATGAGCGATAGGAGCAAAGGCACAGTAGCGATTGTTTTGGGTGAAAAACATAACCATAATACATTGAAATGATATTAAACTAAGATATTACAATCATTATTGTAATTTTTAAATCCGTATTAATGTAGTCTCTCCCAGCTTGCCGGTGATTTGCAAGACATTCTGGGAAATTCTCCTACCCCTTGGTTTGAAGTGTGCGTCTCAGTTTCGAGGGCTACAAGGCCCTAACACTTGGCCCTACCACTCCGTCCCAACAGGTATTGGGACAGCCTAGCCCTACATGTGAATGCACAAAAAGAAGGGGAAGGGCTAAGGGGTAGGGAGAAGGGGTGAAATGGGATCGGGCCTGAAGCTGCCTTTCAATCATATGATCCTTTTGTTGCTGCGTGTTAGCTTCCCTGCTCTTCTAGAGAGGCTGGGTCTCAAGGCAAAATAGCCAAGGGGAATTATCTGTCACCACAGTTTCAATATCTTTCTGCCCATTATGTCACAAACAAAATAAATATATAAATATCTGCAAAGAGGGGTTTCCTACTTCAGTCTTGGTGACTTATATAGGAGGTTTGGTTTTCCATTGTTTGGCTAAAGACCCATCATTTTTGGATGCAGCTGAGCTGGAAGTAGGAAATGCTAAGCTAGGATAATATCTTATTTCTGTAAAGTGATACAGAAAGAGAAAGGGAGATATGGAACGTGATGCTTGCTCTTAAATAAAACCACAAAGTCATGCAGTGTTCTTGGATGTTTTGACACAATTTCTTCAAAATCTAATTAATTCAACTTGCTGTGTCAAGAAAGCTTAGTCCTGGCAAGTACCCTCATGCTTTGCCATTTCAATGTCTAGGGGCAGATCTCCAAGTTTGGAGCCTCTGACGATCTCTATCTTGAGCTTTGGGAAGTCATCAAATCTGTTTCAGACCGAAGCTTCAATTGCCTCTGGAGAGCTATAACACTCAAGACTCTGCCAAAGAATTGCAAAACCCACAGAAGGATTATTATGTGCACTGCCCTTATCATCATAGTGCAGTGACTCCCCACCAAGCCACTTAAGCTACATTTGTGTTCACACATGTACCAGGTCTCCCCAAGAAGTCCAAACATAAGCTTATATATCCCTTATGCATCCATTTAAGACAAATAAAAGTTTGATTCCATATGTTTCTCATATGTCCAAATCAGCGTGCCAAATTTCATCAATAATTGAAGCTTTTTGAGGATGATCTGACATGGGATGACCAATGATAGACCTATTTTGTGTTTCATGGTGCAAGTTTCAGAATATTTTTTGACAGGGCAATAGTTCTAAGCCAAACTTCTTAGTTCTTTTAGTTTTGCTATGTGTTAGACACACATCATCAATTTGCCTACTTGAATCCTCTTGATAATCTCTCTCTGTATTCTCACATGGGCTCACGCTGACATTATCCAGTATTTTGTTCTCATATACAGCTCCTCAGCATAATTTCAGGAGATTATCTACCTACCTCTATATCCCTCTTCCCTTTCCCTCTATCCTCTCCTCCTGTCTCTTTCATCTTGCTCTCCATTAGTCAATGTTAATTGATCAATATAGGCTGAGCCAGGAGGGTTCCACTCATGCTGTACTGCACTCTCCACAGGTATCCAAATACTTGCCTGCTTGGAAAACATTTGTGTGTGCGTGCAGGTGGGGGTTGGGCAAAGCATTAAAGAAAAAAATGAGGAACTCCCCTGCTGTGTTAAAAGAGAGGGCAGTAAAAGTTTCTCACATAAATAAGTGTTTGACATTGATTTAAACACTCATTCAACACTCTCACTTATATGAGAGTATGTGAACATGCAGCTGCAGTTTAACCGGACAAGTTGTGTTTTCTTGTGACACCTACCATTTTGTACATCCAGAATGTGATGTTTGTCCAGCATCCACCCTCCCATGCTGGAAGCATCCAACTCGTAGCCTTGTAAAGTGGCTGTTCTTTTCTCCCACAGGATGAGGTCCAGGCAGGACTCATATTCAAAGCCCACAGACACTGTAAAGACAGGCACCAAGAGAGGTTAGTCAACTCTTTTATTTGACTGTGCTCCGTTCAAACCAAACCCAACAGGAACGCTTCTGTGATTCAGGCAAGAGGAAATAGACGGGTTAGAAGATGAAGAGGAGTTAATCTCATCTTTCTGCTCACAAAGAACACATTGTTTGACACACATTGAACTTTGTTTCTTCAACTGAGACGATACTTGTCAGAGCTGTCAGCCTATCTCTGTGAGGTACGTCTACCAACTAATTCCACAAATGTCTGTCTATCTGTCTGTCTGTCTTCACCAATGACCTGTCTGTCTTCTTTGGGGACCTGTCTGTCTATCTGTCTGTCTGTCTTCATGAAGAACACATATCTCATTGAATGTCCATCTCATCGGTTTCACACTTTCACACTTTGTGCATTGTAAATTGTCAGAGGAATTTGAATACAGCGCCTTGTAGTCAGTGGTCAGTGGTGTGGGAGTGTGCCTTTAGTCTGCAGACCAAGTTTCTATGTTCTTGTATTTAACTGCAGCAGTGGGTGGTAATGGGTTAAACCACGAGTCAAAATCATCGCCAACTCATTTGATAATTAGATTTGTATTTCATCATATCTGACACTGACAGGAGTCGCAGGTGCTGAACTCCTTCATGGCAGCAAAATTCATGGAATTCTTTAGAAACATTTAGAAAATTCTTTAGAAACTTCTCTGCAAAGTAAAACCACAAGTTTGTTTTTGCTATGATGCTATGAAAAAACAAACAAGGAACCCAATGGCCAGCTTTATATGCCTATGGTAAGCATTAGCCGCACTATAAAAATCTTTAACTGTTTTCATACATATCCTGCAGAGGAACAATGCAGCATCGGGTCCAGACTTTCTCTGCAGTTTGCCTTTCACACATTCTCAACACAGCAGGAGATTCTCTACTGAGATGTATTCACAACAGCAACAAATCCTCAGCAGGATTCAGATGAGGGGTGGTGCAGCAGGCAGAGGCAGGCTGGGACATTTTAATTCTGCTGTGTGTGCCAATCACATGTTTTTGTTTGCATCACATCAACATCAGGGTTGGCCCTTGTCACCACAAACTCTCTAGACGTCTTTGTCGGTGTCTTGTGTGCGGCATCACTTTTTAAATCCGAAAATAGTATCTGAAAGACGCATTAACTTGAAGATTGGCAACCAAAAGGTTGGCGATTTGATCCCCGTCTCTCCCATTCTGCGTGTCCTGGGGCAAGATACTGAACCCCACAATGCCTTTAGTGGCTGTGCTGGCATCGATGATTGATGTATAATAGACAACGGCTGCTCATAGATGCACTGTATTAATATCAGTACCAGCATCTGTTCAATGCACAATATTTAGCTTCTCAGCTCAACAATATGCTTTGTAGAGGAGCTGCTACTGTTTTAACATAGACTTTGCCTTAAATATGGCCATAAATTTGACTATTTCCTTGTATAAATGTAGTCCTGTACACTCAAATATTTCACAATTTTCTAACAAAAAAAAAATGGATTCTGTCAACAGAAACACTGGAGTGCTTTTATTTTAAACACATACAGAAAGTCTTGCAACCATTCATGTTTGTGACATAAATTCAACAGATAAACATAAAAAATCAGGTGAAAGATTGTTTTTATTCTGCTGTAAAACACAATGTTTATCTGTTTATGTCACGAACGTATTTCCAACACTTCCCGAACCCGAGTAAAAGCACTCCTGCGTTTAACTTTCCGAATCAATTCATTTGTCCTAACGAGGCTTTGATTGTTATTGACAGACCAGAAGATGTGCGTCTTCATACCATAGAGTCCTGACTTTTAGTGTAATACATAATCCGACTTACTGAAGGAAATGCAGTGGATAAACTAGCAGCTCTGCCCCTAGTAGGCAACTTACTGCACATGTGAACAACAGATAACTGCTGATCTGCGGTACAACCGCAGCCAGAGAGGCCAGAAAGTTACTAGGATTGACAGTGAGACTATCGAGATCGACCGGTCGATCGCTATTGACGGGTTGGCGACCATTGATCTTGACATTGCCTGGATACTGAACCCAAGAAACCCCATTGTATGAATGATGTATACTAGAGAAAGTGCAGCACGTAAAAGCACTGCATGAATGTGTGTGACAGGGTGAGTGATATAACTGTACTGTAAAGTGCTTTGAGTGGTCATCAAGACTAGAGAAGTGCTTTATAAATACAGACCTTTTGCCTTTTACTCTTGCTGAAGGTCAAGAGCAGAGGATGTCACACCTTGTTAAGCTCTATGAAACAAGCTGTGATTTGTGAATATGGGCCATATATTAAAATTCTACTGAATGATTTGAATGACTGATATTGAATAATACTATTACTGTAAGGTGATCAGTGTAATGCTCTCTTGTTGTATGAATTGTATGCACACTGTACATATTATACAGTCATGTTTATATTTGACCTTAGCTGTGGTTGTCTCCAGCTTTATATACAGCATGTTTACAGGTCTGCACTGGAGGAGACCCCCTCTGCTCAACAGTCACATATCAGAGTCATTTTTGGAAAACACTGGTGCAATTTAAATACACTATATATTTCATCTCCACTTCTCTCGTACATCAATACTGTTACTGTTACGGGTAAAAATACATGTTCCTCCAGAGTTAAAGGTGTCTTTCATCCCTGGGTCATCAAGGAAGGGTCACAATTAAGGTGAAAATATTAACATGATATGATGTTTGTAGAAAATAGGAACCACATGTAAGGAGATGACTTTCAACTTGCTGTGTCTTTCATGGAGGCAGATGGGCAAGCAATAAATTAAGTAACATCCCACACAAAGATGAGAAAACATCAGTCAAAGGAACAGGAAGAGTTCTAACTGAACAGATGAGCCAACAAACAAGACTGGAGAGGTAAGAAGACTGGAGAGGTAAGGATCATTGATCACAGGTGAACACACATCAGGATAATCACCCGAAGAGGGAAAGCAGACACAGACAGGAAATAAAGAAGTGATAGACACACAAGAAAAGAGATACAAAACCAAATATCCGAAAATTAAACACAGGACATTACATGTCCAAATAACTGATATGCAAATTCAAAATCCATACAAATACAAAAACAAGGTCAAACATTAAGTCTACAAAGTAATATTAAACCCAAAACCACGGAAGATGCTGATGATTCCAACATAGTGTATTTAACACTGTACCTCAATTAATTAAATGATTAAATTGACAGAGAAATGCCTTCATAATTACCTTCAATTACTGTGGACAATTATAGAACAGTTTACCTATTTAACTTTGCATATTAATGTGATTGCAATGCAAGCAGCCTCATTTGCACTGGAGAAATATGAAATCAATAAAGTCTATTAGGTTTATAAATCCACAGTAGCAGATCAGAGCTGAATTATCACTGACCAACACCATGTCATCTTCCTTGAGAACTTTTAATAACGTAAATATAATTTGAGAAGAGGTTTGTGCATGGTTAATAAATGAACCATTCCAAAATTGACGTTTTTGTTCCACTAAGTCTCGAAGAACTCACCAACTGCCTCAGATAGTCCATAGACGCGCTGGCCATAGGCATCCGTCTTGTCCCAGATAAAGGTGTACGACAGATTTGGTTGGGCAGGGAACCACTTCTGGAAGAGGCGACCCACTACCGCCACCATTAGGTGAACCTGGGGAAACAGCATCAGACACAAAGGTTGCTAAATGGTCTGGGGCTGAGGAAAAAATTAGAAAAGCTGTTTGGGTGAAAGTGATTCTCAAGGCCCGTTCAGATAGAATGCGTATTCAGCACGCAGCCCTCCTCCGCCCTGAATCTGTGTAATGCTGCCCGTTCAGGGTTCATTTCTTTGTTTCTTTGTTAGTTTACACAATTCCCCTACCTACAACAAGCTTCCTGACTGTTAAAACAGACCTGACGTGTCCACTTGAACCAAGTGTGTTGGGTCAGTTATAGAGGCTGAGCTGATTTTTCACATTACATTGCGCTTGGATCAGGTTCAGACAAAAAAAGTAAGAATGTCTGTCAGGTTCTGATTAGGCTCTGTCAGTTTGCTCTCAGGCTCGGATAGATTCTGAAAATGTGTCCCAAACCGCACTCAAACAATATCAACTTTTCCTCTATTGTGCATCCAGTGCCTGGCTGAATACTTGTTTCTATTGAACATTCCAGTGTTCATCACTGCCACTGAAAAGAATGTGTGTCAGATTGCAGGGTTACTGCAGTTGCAATCTATTTGAATGGGTCTTTATAGCTTTGAGTGGTTGTGTAAATTCTGATGTAAAAGTGCTATATGAATTCAGTTCATACATACAGTTGCAATGATGCTGACCAGCTGACTGATCAGTGATCAGTGGCTTTGGGTATATGTTGTTGTATGTTATATCTCTCACCTTCATCAGGTTGAAAGGTATTGATGACTGTGTCATGGTGACTTTGAGGACTGGTTTATATCCTGCTGCTCTGGAGCTCAGATAGATAAGGTTTAGGTCACTCCCTGGTATCGAGGTTTCTTCATGTAAAACCTGCGGAATAATAAAATGACACAGAAAGCATATCATCATATAACAGTATTTCACTTTCCCGACCGGTATCTCAACCAGAAGGTTTTGCAGTTTGATCTCATTCTTCCCCATCTGCATGTCAAGGTGTCCTTGGGCAAGATACTAAACCACAAATTTCCCTTCATAGAAAAAGTGCTGCCCATAGATGCTAATTTTCAAGCCTGCCATTTAACTCACAATTCACTATTAGAGTAGATAATGAGTGAATTTTCATTTTTTTCCCCCGGTGAACTATCCCTTTAAGTGACATATGATTGCATCTGCTTTTTTGATTTAATGTGATAGAGTGGAATTTGACAGTTAATGGACCAAATCATAATTACATTAATCAATTTATACAAGAATTCACATTTAATCTCCAAAAAGTGACAGCATAAGCAGCAGCAACCCAAGCATTCACATACAACTTTAAAGTGCAGGTAAGTTAGGAAAAAGTATAGCACCAGACTGCAGAAGCTCAGAAGATGAAAGCAGAGCCCAGGATTTCTGTGAGTAAAATGTTCATAAGAGAAGAGATATGATGGCCTTCATACTCATTTCAATGAAATATATTGCTTGTACCTCAGTAGCAAAAACGTTCCCGGTCTGTTATCATCTACAGGCCATCACAGAGCCAGAAAGATGCAATGACTGGGACTTGCAAATTATTCTACACACCTAACTTCCTCAAATCAAAATCTCCACTTGGAGCAGGAAATGAAAACAGGAGATGTGTGTCCCTATCAAACAAACAGCTTTGAACACAACAAAATAGATATATGACTAAGGCTCCTTCCATATAACCACATTATAATTTAGTTTCACTACTAAATGAGCAGTGTGTTCACATACTGCTCTCATATGTGGAAACATCACAGAGTGCAGAACACTGCACCCAACCTTATCGGAGGGGGTGTTGTAAGGCCAAAAAAACAGATATATTTTAAGGTGTGAATAGCAGATTAAATTTGTTTCACATTGTATAGAAAATTGTAATAAATATATCCTAAATATCAAACTAATGACTGTTTGCTATTGAGAGAAGATACATTTTAAAAGATTTATAAAAGCCAAACCCAGACCAACAACAAATATCTGAATTGTCCATCAATTTAAGCAAAAAACAAACAACACGATAAGAATGGTTTAAAAATGCTGCAAGATAAAAAATATACAAGCGGCTACTATAAATGCATGTGTGTGCTCTGATATGTATACATTTTAGAAAAATCTTCAGGAATATAAAGACTCTTTAGGGAATGATCCATTTGGATTGCATGGTATGAACTCTTAAACTGCACCATTGCCTTTTAATTAGGCATTTAGTGTGCATTACAAATCCATTACATCCCCTTTAAGACTGCCCTCTCACTGCTCTCCTCTCTAATGGACTCCACCAGTAGCCAAGTAGCAGCACTCCATTCATGTACTTCTGATCTGCACTCAGACACACACACAAACACACACTCATTCCCTGTCAGCCAGCTGACACACACATGCACAAAAATGATCAAATGCTGGTTAAGGACACACACACACACACACACACACACACACACACACACACACACACGCACAGTCTTCTGCAAGTCCAAGACCAGACCTGTTAAATTAGTTTTTTATCCCATTGCTTCTCTGACAGTCAGTCAAAAGCCTCAATCTCATATCAGTGGTGTTGCTAAACTCAAAAATATGTTTCTTTTAATTAGCTTTCAAATCAATTAGAATGAGACAAGGGCTCATATTATTTAGATGTTGTCAATATTTTCAGTCAAATTTTCCAGATAAAATAATAGGATTCAATCAATTAAATTGTAACCAGGTCATCCTTGAGTCCAAATCAATATTTGTGCCAAATTTCAGCAACATTTCCACAAGCATCGTGTTTAATTTCTTTTTTTAATTTTGCTAACAAAATCAAATCAGTTAATCCCTGAGTCCAACTGAATATTTGTGCCAATGTAAAAGGATTCCTTCAAACATAATCAGTTCATCCTTAAGTCCAAGCAAATGTTTATACCAAATGTGAAAAAAATTCCTTAAAGGCTGTGGCAGTAGACCATGCCACGGGGTTCCCACCACGACAGCCAGAGACGAACCAGTCCACCCATTGCGTGCTCAGCAACATCTTTTTAATGCTGGCCAACAGAACTGACAAAATATTGAACTTAAAGGGTCCAGCACTATCTGCTGGACCTCTGGCTTCACCCAGTCTCTCTTCCCCAGTGTGTGTTCTCGAGGCAGCTCTGCTGCTGCCTTTTCAAGCATGAGGATCAATCAGCTAACAGCTCTCACCTGTGCTGACTGATCCTCTGTGGTGCAGGTGAAGGTGCTCTCTCCGCCCCTTCACCTCCACAAAGGCATTCTTGAGCTATTGGGTTCACAAGAACAAGAGGCGGACGGATGGAAGGACAACCCCAAAACATAATGCTGCAGGCCACTGTCGCTGGTACTGAAGCAACAGTAAGGATAATGTCGAGATTCATCAGTTGAAGCTCAGTAGAGGTTGGGTGATGCCGCAAGATAAAGATACAATCTAAACATTGTTGTAAAACTGACTTCAAACTACGAAAATTCACTTCAGATCACAGACTTGAACCCAATAGAGCTCAGAAAGGGAGAAATGGATCCATTTTAATTAACCATGTCATTCTTATTCTTTTATCTTTTTTGCACATATTTGGGGGATAAACATGTTCCAATTTTGACAACAGATAAAATGCTTCTAGAGCTATATCCAGGTAGGTCTGTGGTATTTCTAACCTGTGTTTCAGGTACGATGGGGCCATCCTCGGGTGAACTCCTGTAAAATGTAGACAGAGGAGAGGCAACAATGACAGGACTGGGCCTGATGAAACCACTCAAGTCACAGCTGGGAATGTCATTCTCCTCCTGAAAGAGACAGACATAAAATGTCATCAGTTTATTGACTGAATACGTCAGTCAAAGACAAATTAGACTAGCAAGTGATAGATCAAGATTATTTTGGCCAATATTGCAATCACGATAATTTAAAACAATGACTCTTATTATTAGTAGTATTGTGAGAATGTCTAGAATATGTAGAATACATGCATCAAATTGGATTTTGAGTTTCTTATGTCTGTTGTAAATTTACAATGATGTATGAGGCTGTTGGTCAAA